GAAGAATCTAGGATCAGTCAAAAGATTGGAAAAAAAACCATATCTTTTTAACCTTACATATTTCATCTCAATGGGCTATTATAAGCAAACAAATGACCCAAAATCTATCAAGACATACAAATTAACAAGATATTTATTTCATTTAATATACCATAAATTTTCTTAACAAAATCATACTTTTTCTGCTAATTGATATCTAAATATCAGCAGTAAACAGATTGTGTTTACATAAAAATATATACCATGTACATATGATATGTACTTTCTTTGTTGATCAATACACATATGTTACCAACTACGATGTACAAATCAATAAAAATACCTGTCTTACATGGCTTCACATTGTTTATTATAAAATCTACAAAAATACATTTCACACAATGTTTTTTCTTTATATCACATAAACGACAATCCTACAACAGCTTCATTTTTCTTATATGACTCATCAATGTCAAGGAATAATAAACAAACTGCCATTATTATACTTTTATATTCTAAATACTATATAATTCTTGTAAAGTTGTATATGTTGTAAGGTTATTACACATGTAAAACCATCATTTTATTGTTATCAATGTTCATTTCTGTGTAAACACTTCATCTCACTGAACAATAAATCTTTACATTGTTTGTTTCGAAAGCTTTATTATTGTTCCTTATTACAGTAGACAATTCAATTCATGTTGTTTAACATGCATCTTTTGATTGTTTGGTCTTAGTAACAATATCACAGTCTTGTACAAACTGATAGACTGTTAGATTATTCAATCCTTGGTCTGACAGTGAGTAGCAACTGATACTACTGTAAATGTGTCTATGCTACCAGTACAGACCAAGATCGGCCTTCACATATGTGACATCTGATCATGGTCTAAACTGTTCACTATTCAGTCAGTACATCCTTGGAAAATTTTCTTGAAAATTATCAATAGTTTTGTCTAGATAGAAAGATGGACATTTAATTTAGGTTATTTTCGCAGGTAAGAGTTAGTTGAATGTTCATGGCATTTGTACTAACATGAATCAATTTTCCTTTTTTAGTACCTGCCAGTGACTGGTATAGAACAATTTATGTCAGATATGGAAACTTGAAGACAGATTGCACTAGGGAAATTATTAAACTCCAACAAATCCTCACTCTAAAATTTGAGTTGCCCACAAGATATAAATGTGCAAAAATAATAAACAATAGACCAACAAATTTTCCCTCTGACAATGAACAAGATCAAATTTCCTGAATTTTCAAAGCCAAATAACATTTACAATGTACATTGAATAGTCAAATATGTTTGAAGTTTAATGTTAACCTTTTCATAAACTTGCAAGGCCATTAATACTACTATTATACATGTACCTATAGAGATGAAAACAGTTAACTAAATATAATACTTAAAATAAGACAATTACCTTAAGAATGGAATCCAAGCTAAATGGTTTTTGACTGATACATCCCAGTTTGCATGCTTCAAAATCATCATTATCTGAGAAGGCATCTTTACAAGCTGTAAAAGAATACATATCACACATATCACAACACACAGTAAATTTATTTCTAGGCAAAGAATGGGGCCAATTAGGTCTAAAAAATTGTGTTGTTAGAGTAACATCGTCATGCTCTTAAGTAAACATTTTTAGGCCTTACCTAATACCATCACAAAAAGTTTATGAATCTTCTTTTCCTTTCTTTAAACTTTTGGCAGTCATTTTAGTTAACAAACCCGGGTTTCACTAGTCATGAAATACTGAGGTCATTTTGACTAATGTGGACTAAGGTTTGCCAATTACAAGGTAAAATAAATCCCCATGAGTTTCATGAAATTTGATTCTCCAGTTAAAATCTTGAAGGTCAAATCAGGCCTTTAAGTAATTTGAAAGGTCATTTTAAGGGTCAAATGGACACACTGAGACCAATACAATTTTTTTTGCTGTTTTTGTAAATATTCTCAACAAGAACATTCAATATTCTGAAGTTTCAAATCAAAATGGTCAAGAGATTTCAAAATTTGATGTTGATTAATGCAAAAGCTGATTATAAATGGACAAACATACAGGTCTGCCTTACCTGGGCACATCACATGCTTAAGTAATAAGACAGCTAAAGTGTGATGAAAGTGTCCTGTTCATGACTGCCCTTACATGAAGGACAAACTGATTCCTAAGCTTTAGAATGATAAATATAAAAATATTTAAATTACTTAATCATCTGCATATTACTCTTAAATAATAAATATAAAATAAATAATAAGACTTAAATTTTACATACATGATTGACAAACTTTGATTGTTTTGTTGACATCATCACAGAGGAATTCCATCATTGAAAACCATCTACAACCACGGTCACATGATTCCTCACTTGTACTCTGTATAAATACAATAACTATATCTTACTAACATGAACATATATTTATCTTTAATATGAAAGTACATGTAGACAAAGCCTATGAATGGGGAAGTCAGGTAAAAAAATGCTCATTTTTTATTTTTCGTTTTATTAAAAGGTGTCGTTCCGTATTTCAGGCACTGCTTCTGTTTTTCAATCCAATACCTCAATGATATTTCTCTAACGAAAAAGTTGTGATTGTTCTGTTATCGGAATTTCCTGCCGATTATCATTGAGTTAAAAATGGCAGCTCACAATTAGAGATGACACTGAAAATTTCACCGATAGGAATAGAAATCTAATACTATGTATTTATTCAATTATTTCTATTTGGGTTCCTTTTAAATATACATGTGTAGTCTAAAGCCAGGAAAGTAACAACGTTGTAAAAACTTAAAATTATATTTTATTTCATATAAAACTATCCATTATTTAGGAAAGCCATACACCCTGGCAGTGGAATTGTGTCTTTCACCTTGAATGTATTTACCAATAATCTTGATGAATAGCATCTGTTTTTGGCTTACAGAGCTGAAAATAATATCTAAAATGAAAGATGTTGTAAATATATGTATATGTTGATTTAAGAAATGATTTTTTTCTTTCTTTTTTAAACTTTATATACAATAATTAATCCATTATGAATTTTACTCAGTATCAATTAAAAACCAATTAACATTTTCAAACAATATAAGCTGTAGTGAATATTAAGTGCACTTTGCAAAGTTTTGGTCACATGGCACTCATTAGACATTTTAAAATGGAGAACAGGACAGAAACAGAAAAGGGCAGGTCAAGATTTTTCAAAGGCTGTATTTGCAAAATTAAGGCTTGCATAAACATTGATTGATTTTGCATTAGTAAAAATATGAAAAAATACAGAACATTTGATAAAGGTGAAGTATTTTAAGTGAAATGTCTGTCTTTCCAAATGTTTTAGTTATATGTTGTAAATACATGCTTGCAATTGACCTTTTCGAAAACATAGCTAAACACTGTTTTCCGGTATGTTACTGTTTTAGCTCTGGGGAATTACACCAAATGAAGTACATAACACAGTTACAAGATATTTCTATTTTTCTATCATTATTTAACCGTTTAAGGTGAAAAAAATTTATGTTTTTGAAAATTATCAATATTCGTTTAATTGCAAATTATTCAAAAAAATAAATTGTTTATAATGAAAATCAATAAAATTCAAACAGACGTAGTGGAATCTTCCATAATAAATAAGGTTAACTTGTGTATTTACTTTATTTTTTGTATGAAATTATTCATACGATGATATTTAATTATTTTCTTATAAATTAATAACTGTTTTATTTCAATTTAATTTAAAAAGAGGCCGAAAACATTGAGTTCGCTATTACACTCCATTAGGTGAATTCCCCAGCCCTATGTACAGAAAGTACCGGAAAACGGCGTTTAGCTAAGTTTTCGAATTCGTGAATGCAGTCAGCAAATTATGACATCATATGAGGTCGTTTTCACCAATTCTTAGGTCAAAACAAAAATCAGGCGTTATAATAGATGAGCGTCAAAGCACATGACCGACGATATATATAAAAACGATGACAATCCTTCCTAATGACAGACATTTTTGAAACATCAGCCAGTAATGGGAAATAATTGTTTTACAATGTTGTTATGGATTTAGAACAAGTGAGCATACTATTCATCCGTTCCGTTATTAATGAAAACCCTGAGTTTGGAGAAGAACCTACCTGTACTGTAGCAAATTTAAGTTTCATTTAGCATTCTTAAGTGACTTAAAGTGCATGTCTACAGTTTAAGTCAACAAAACGTAGTTGCCAATAATCAGAAACACACACTTAACAATTATAAATATGAAAAAGTTAATCAGGTCAAACCTGATAATGAATATTTATAATAAAAAAAAGTAAACACGCAAAATTCACATTTCATCTATATATAGACTTTTTTCAACCTATAAATTGACGTTATAACGCATAAATAACAGAGAACAGCTCCTATTTGTTTGTTTCTATCAAACGTAAATAAAGCCCATTTGTTTATCGATTTCTTTTGTTGTTTATTTTAGACAAAATTTAACAAATGGAACATTTATCGAACAAATAACTCACCTTTTCATATGTATGCGGTGAATAAGCATTTTTGCAAACTTCTTTGCATGATGATGCATCATCTGGGAAGCCTAGCTGACTCGCTCTTGCAAAATGAACGAAAATTAAAAGAAAATATCCAACCACTTGTTTCGTCGCCATTTTGATGTGTTGTACGGTCACATGACTACAAAGCTAATACCGAATAGAAAAGTTATGAAATTGTTGTCGACATACGTCAGGTGTACCACAGGCACAGATATATAAACAGTCTTATATTTAACTCCATGGGTGTACAGAGGAACACATATTAATTAATTAATTAATTAATTCATTCATTAATTAATTAATTAATTAATTAATTAATTAATTAATTAATTAATTCATTAATTCATTAATTCATTCATTCATTCATTCATTAATTAATTAATTAATTAATTAATTAATTAATTAATTAATTAATTAATTAATTCATTCATTCATTCATTCATTCATTCATTCATTCATTCATTCATTCAGAGTCAGTCAGTCAGTCAGTCACCTCCTCCGTGGGCATGGGGTTAGAGTCGATGACTTCTAATCCAGTTACCTCTCTGGCGTGGTTTCGATCCCCGGGAGATGCTTTGGTAGTTTAGCACGGAGGAAGGTGTAACTCTCCAGAAACGATGGTTAGGAAACTACCCGCCTATATGACTGAAATACTGTTGGGATGAAGCAAACAAACAAACAGTCAGTCAGTCCAAAGTTCCTGGAAGCGTACCAGATTGCTAAAAAACCTTCAACATAGAGATAATTAATGTAACTAAATGGTTACTTCAAAGTCGAGCTAAAATAAATCTTGTTGTTTTTTTTTCTAACTTAATTGATAAAACACTGGATTTTAAAAGTGAAATATAGTATATCATTGATACTGTATAGCTTTGCTGACTTGCATTGTTAAAGTTTATGAATGCAGCTTTTATCAATATTAATCGTTGCGTTTTGTTTTTTATGACATACTTATCGATTCAAATATTATTAATTCACTAAAATTGTGAAAAGTTAAACCGCAATATGATGACTATAAATGTGAAATTATCCTGTACATGTTACGTCGAACCTTTGATGCAATATTCTAGTTTTTTTTATCATATGACATGAATTCATATAGTTAGTTAGGTCGGTGGTTCATTTAGTCATGATTGAAACTGAAAATTCACAATCATAATCTCAGATGACTTCTTTAGGTTCTATTTTTTCCAAAAGACTACTTTCACTACCACGTCCACATTTAATTTGTTCAATTCAAACCTATCAAACTGAATTAGAATCTAATTTTCAACACTCGTTAACGCATTACTTTTTTTACAATATTTTTTCCCTATTCATAGGTTTCTGCATTTTCTCTATTAATGTTCTTAGTGGCTGAAGCGCACGTAGTCTTTGACCAGTGTTTGACAGAATCAAAGATGGGCAGACATCGAAAGTTCCGCACGTTATAGTATGTCTTAACATGGCGGGAATTACAAAATTTAATGCGCGAGTCATCTGTGCATAACGGTCACGTGGTATTAGGCTGTATTAGGCGGTAAATTAGAGCGGGGTTTCATGGCATACATTTTATTCAAATTCGAAAACAATCATTTAGCAATTTTGATAAGTGGGTTTGTATTTAAATGATGGCATGTTATAACATACATGCATACAGTCTAGCTTAAGCTCTAATTTTTATTTAAGATACATGCATGTATTTACAATAAGTTACGGTTATATTATGTTCATATCGGCTCTGGCTAACAAAAATAAATAAAAATTGTTGAACTGTTTAATTCTGTGAAAGCATGGATTTAGTTTTGCAATAATCATACAATAAGTGGCGGATATAACATACCATTTTCGAAGTGTAAAAGCAATGAGATGCTGAGGTCCATCATGACCACATCACTTCCCCTCGGAACGTGCACGTCGCTGAGAAGGCACAGGGCATCGGCAGAAGATTTACAACTTGGCTGGTAGACAACTTTAACGTAGCCTTCAACCGTGGGCGTTAACTACGGAATCCTACTTCGTCACTTCTGCGGACCAGCTGCCGATGTCCTGACTAATGCCGAATGGAGTGGCACTACAAAGTAGGCTGAGACGACGAGGATGGTGTACTAGGGTGCGTGAGCCCCTAGTACAGATAGACGGCTTGTAAGGCAGGCCTATAGCTGGCACCAACAGCCCTTTTCAGGGCTATACACCTTTCCTATTGTCACAGGTGACTGTACATTTAGGTTCTCATTGGCCGCCGTACAGGGACCTACTTTTGGTTCAAAATTCATATCTTTGGCTAATACTCCGTGGAAATTGCATGGAGGTAAATTATCACCATTTTGTGCTCCAAAATTAACTCTTTAAGGACATGACTGGTGTCTTGTCCGGGGTCCATACTCGACAGCGCAAGCTGCATTTTGTGCCCTCGCGGGCGGATGGACCCTCATTAAGCTTAAACTAGAAGAAGAAGGTCCATCATGACTTTGATGTGTGATCTGTTTATAACAAAAAAAGTTGTACCTCGTTCACCAGAATTTGTCTAAATGCTGAGCGATGGCAATGTTAAAAAGCCGAGTTAAACTTATAATCTTAAAGGGTTATAAATGTTAGTTTTATTATAATCATTCGGGGATATTGATCTCAGTACTTACTTGAGTAAAATATCAAATTTCAATAATGCGAAGCCAGTGTAAGATCAAAGGGACTCAAACATGATATTACTGAAAATAATTTATTGAGATTAATATTCCATTTGACGCAAGTCTGAAACTTTTGTGCAAAATTTCAGATCATTCGCTCAATTCTTTTTTATAGACTGACTATTTTCATTGTAAGAAATGACCCAGAACTGAAAAGTGTTGCGACCCTTTCACTCAAATTGAGCTAAGAATAAGACAAAAATACGATTTTTAATTTATTCTGAGTATATTTCTACATTATCTTTTGCATACTTTTCTGTTTTAATTCTCAAGCTGATCTATGTAAGAAATTTATATTTTGTGTTTTTAGGGTTTTGGACCTCAGTGGAGTTCCTTTGAATTGTCGATCATGATGATTTTTTTCCTTAATTATTTTTTTTAATTGCCCCGGATGATTCTGCTTGTTTCTGACATTTTGCTTGTACGTGTATTCATTTTAGTCTGAGATATTCAATATGGTATATTTGTCATTTTAACTAGAAATGTCCCATGGTGTATATGGTAATGCAGCGATAACATATATTTTTAAAACCTGATTGTCGTCCTTTTTGACAATATAAACACAGATGATATAAAATAATTTTATTAAAGAGAGTGGTTAGCAACAATAATGTCATATTATAAAATAGTGTAAATAAAAGGATGCAAACGCATGCGGTCAATAAATAAAACAAGGTTGATAATTCAATTATACAAACTTGCAAATATTAAACTGGCATAGATGATTAAATATCAATGTTATTGAATATTGTTTCCTCCACATATTATGACAATTTTCCTTAATGTGGCTTTTTTTGTAGAAAGTTTGGTTAACATTTGCTGAATTAAAAATACATCACCAGCATGATTAATACTAAAACTTTTCCCGTTAAAAACAGGTTAAGAGAAAACAGGGTCGTAGATTGTTCCATGCAATAGCTGTAAAACCACTGACAGCCCAATTAGTAGAATGATATGTATATGGCTATAATTATCACAACATCTTTCATTGGACCAACATGTACCATTGACATAACCTTGCTTCTAGACAATTAATCAACCGTGGGTTTCCGACGATGCTACTCACTGGGAACTTTTTTCTCAATCCCTAAAAAACGCAATTAAATTTTCCCATACATATAAAGGGATGGTAAAGTTTTTTTTGTAAAATTGTGATTACATTTTAGACCCTGTTTTTATAATAAAATTTAGTCGTATCTTTTTTTGGTCTGTACCGTCTGTACCAAAAATTCCCTCAGTGATTGTTTTTGAGTTCATTAATTTTATTTTCTTTCGTTTGAAATCTTTTGATTTTTGTTTTTTTTCTCATCCTTAAATTTTTTTTCATTTTTATGTTCTTTTTCAATTTTTCTTTTTAAAATCTCTACCAAATTTTTGCATCACTTTTTTTTGTCGGGACTTTTAAATCTTCTAAATTGAAATTTTACTTCATACTGGGAATTATTTTCTCTTGTGTTAAACTGTTGTTTGTTTTCTCCTCCATCGTCAGCATCTTCGATAACAACACTAACTTTAGTAAGATGACTGGTTATATTATGTGATTGTTGCATTGGGTTTTCATTCATTTGTCTTACATATCCATTTGATACTTTCCTTATCCTAGCGTCTTTTTCTTGTCTTGTCCTCCTATGGAAACTTCTTCGTTGATAGTCTTCTGCTAATTGGACCAGCCGCCGCAGATGACTGTTTTGATGTAGCATTCTATTGAGACGTGTTTGAAGATCAATTTCAGATCTTTTCCACAGTACGAGCAAATCTTCTTTAGATAAAGCTTCCACTGCACCCTGATCAAACGCCATTGATCGACGTCTGTCTGTCGCAGCCATTGCATGACTTCGTATATTTGATTTAAGTCTATTATCTTTTATGTTTAAGTTCATTCTTTTATTTCTGTCTGTTAAACCATCTAAGGAAGACGAGGAACACGTTCGGCACTTTTTCACAGGTATTTCGTTCACTATTCTATCAGCTTGAAGTATATTAACCGTATCTGCATTTGAGAATGACTTAGCGTTGTTATTTTGTGATCTTTTAAGACTTCTTTTACGCGTTTTTGGTGATGGCCACGTCTCGTACCGTTTATCCTTCCGCCAAGAACTGGGATTAGAGTTTCGCCGTTCACTTTCACTTTGATTTCGAGAATTTCCTACCATTTGTCTGTTTCTCGGGGAAACAAATCCATTTGAAACAATAGCTTGTCCACCACTTACACCGTCTTCCATCTGAATGCTGCATCTGTCACTATTGTTAGACATACCTTGATTTTCCAAAGCAATGTCTATGTCGTCAGGCTCGAATACTGGATTGTCAAAGCAAGAATTAGATAATATGTCTAAAGAAATTAGAGAGTCTCTATGCATGGAAAACTCCATGGGGTCAATTTCCGACAATATCTCAGCAATTTCATCATTTATTGAGCCAGAAATCGTGAAGATATCAGGCGGCTTGGTGTCATCATGTTGCATCTCGTAGAAACTTTTA